ATTTATTTATTTATTTATTTATTTATATTAGAGCTGTAAACGATTAAAATATTTAATCTAATTAAAAATGCAACTGTCATAATTAACTTTTGGCATTTTTTATCGTTTCTGAATTTCCTTTTTTAATCTCTCACACAATATTACTGCCCATCAACAACAGTGAAAAAAATATTTTGTCACACAACAGCTGCTTTAACAGCTCTTTTTATGGAATCAAAACAGAGCAATATAACATTATAAAGTGCACATCTAAGGTAAACTAGTACTCTATATACAGTACTATGGAATCAAAACAGAGCAATATAACATTATAAAGTGCATATCTAAGGTAAACTAGTACTCAGCCTATAGTGGATTTAAGCCATGGTTGCAGCAGTCAGGCTATGTTGATTCTGTTGGTCCTTCTTGCTCGGAAGTCTCTCTACAGTTTTGTGTAGACATCATTTCGGATGACTACACTTGGTTTGATGACAACACTGGAGACGTTTTATTTTCAGTGTGTTTGCTAGGTCGCTACCACTGCACCGCTGAACTCTCGAGGTGCCTCAGCTCACCGTGCTGTCAGACGAAAAAAAGAGAAGCTCCACCCGCTTTATTTATATGGCGACGGAACACTGTAACCTTCCACACAAAATAGTTCCAAACAAGTAACAATCGCGTCAGTTTCAGCTTGAGTCGAGCTGTGGACAATGTTGACAGGCTTGCATGCAGTAGCCATACATTTAGCTTTGGCTTCAGCAAATTTGTTCTTCGTTGTGTTATCCATTTTCTTCGCTTTGAAATTATCCATAGCTGTCTGTCTGAGACGAAGGGGCGGAGTACTCATGTCAGCTGTGCGCTTGGCCATTCAGTGGTATTTCAGACTCGACGTGCTATGATGATAGCTCAGTTTACGAATGCAAAACATACAGGTAACTTTGGTCTTGTCAGTGGAACAATCTGGCAACTTTTTAAAAGTAAACTTTCTATTCATAAACTCTAAAAGTATCCGTTTTCGGTGTCTCGCGCTGAGGTGGCTGGCAAAACAAACGTGCGTGGACATGTGCAGCACGTTTTGTTTCTGGTTTATTTATAGAGCAATTTAACATCCGCTGTGACGTCTGCCGCGTTAATCAAAAGTGATTTCAACAAAATGTCAGTATAATAAGCCTCTGAATGTATTCTTTAAAATAATTTTGTGGTAATACTCACCATTAATGTGAATGGTTTTCCGTTCCTCACGATTGCTAAAAATCCAGCAAAACTATCGGAATGAAAGTCATCTTGCCGGGTCCATAAGCGAAGTTACTGCTGGCTAGCTTGCACACTGCTCATTAGCTTGTACGCTTTCTTTCGGCCGTCTCTCGCACAGTATTTTGATGCGAATGTAGCATGGGGCGTGTCAAAGTGCCGCTCTGCATTCGTCCGTTTCATCGATGGTATTTTGTCATTGCAAATCAGACACACCGCAGAATCTGTTCTCTCCACAAAGGCGAATCCTTTGGGCCATTCGTCCCGAAGTCTCCCAAACTCGTCATCTTTTTTTCTTTTCGCCATCTTATTCGCTGTGGATTAGCTTTGAGCTAATGGCCGAGCGGGTTGATTCAAAAGGGGGCGTATACCTGTTTCCACAGCAACGGCAACATTGGCCAGTATCATCCAATCAAAATGGCTCCTGGAGCCAACTGCAGCCCGAACGAAGAAATGAGCAGTGAAAAATCGATCGATGGATGCATTAATAAACAAGCGAGAATATTTTTTTTTTCTCTGCGAGCCAGATGCAATCATCAAAAGAGCCATATATGACTCGCGAGCCATAGGTTCCCGACCCCTGCTATAAACCATTCAATAGCAGAGACATGAGTTTATCTGAATAGACGGCTTACCAACTGCTGACCACCAACTCCCCATGAAGCAAACTGGAGGACTGAATTGGAAACTTCTGGAGGATTGAGCTCCATAACTTCCCTGGTCCAAGAACATTGACAAAACAGATTAAAAAAAACCAAACATTTACGCATAAGTCACAAATCTTGTCATAGGGAAATAAAAGAAAAAAGTTATTCTTTGCTCACTGACCTTGTATACAGGTTGTAGATTAGATATGATGCCATGAAAGAATGTTGATAAACCTAAAACATGTAAAAAAAAAAAAAAAAAACAACAAAAAAAGACATGTTAGATTTTTTTTACAAAATGCTTATTACTTATTTAGCATCTCAAATATTTTTATCGACTTCAGTCCAACCATATTTTCATTTCTGAAAATGAACTACGTCCTTCAAAAGAAACCTGAAATAATTTTGTTCAAATTATCAAAATATCTGACTGTTTAATCCGACTGCAAGCACCAAATCACACAATATTTTTTCTTTCAGTCATCAGCAGAGTTATCAAATTTGGTTTTCCCAACCATCTAGAACTGGAGTCTTTAAAAAAAAAAAAAAAAATTATCTTCTGTCAGACAATTTCTGACATATATGCCTCCACACTTGGGGTGCACCACAAAAACAGGTCATTGTTTGTTGTTTATCTGCACAGTTAATAAAGTTGAGTGGTCACAACACAAACATCTAAGAAGAGTGTTAATTTTAATGAAATCCCTCTAATTTTGTGGTCGTGAAAATAGTATTTTTCTGTTTTAAGGTTTACTCTTAATCTCAACTGGTTTCGCATTTGCACCTTGTGGACTCAAACTTGCCTTGGATTTGACAAAAGTGGACTTGATTACAGCCCTGCCGGCAGGTGCGTAGGTGTGGAAGAGCGCAGAGAGGTGAGGTGAGCCATTTGAAGATTAGAAAACAAAAACAAAAAAAATCATAAAAACAACTCTAAAATATACAGTGAGTCAGTAGAGGAATGCAATATTTGGAGCTATGGGCGTGTGTGTTTGGTGTGCGGCGCCCCCCCCCCCCCCCCCCGATGAGGACGAGGCCAGCAGCAGCATTTTGGACCAACTGGAGATGCTAAAGGGAGGATTGGCGGACTTCAAAAAAAGGTGTATAACAGTAACCCAGCCGAGATGTGACAAAGACATGGATTACTGTTTCAAAATGATGTTGAGAAAGGAGAGGCTTTGCCTCATCCAGCTGCCTTAAATGAAAAAAACTGGATTTAACAACAGCAGCTATTTGCCGGTCCAGTTATAAATTACTGTCCACTACCTCCTACGACCTGGCGTCCACATGTGTGGACATCACATTTTTGGTTGTCAAGACTACAATGTTAAATTTTGGACTACAAGGGCCTGGCGTCCACTTATTCGGATGTTAAACTGCTCACTAGTGGTGGAAGAAGAGTGTAACAAGCACATGTAAAATTCAAGATGACCGACAACCCACCCAAACATTCAGATGGCTCCTCCCAATCCAAAAGTCGACCAGGTAAAAAATTCAAACAAATTCCATGGCTGATTCTTGCTCAGATATGTTTTGAATAGATTCTTGCTCAGATAAGTGTTCAATGTGTGTTGTGGAAGTTGAATTTTGCAAATGTAAGCAAATTTGACAATTTACCATGCTGCTAAACTTGATGTACACATATGTGGGCAGAGGAACTTAGTTTTGTTGGTTTCGTTGAACATGTCCAGAAATGTGGACAGAGGGAGTTGGTTTAGAATTTGATTTGTATTTTGGAATGATTTTGTTAGAAAACGTCATTTTATACAGTACAAACCAATATGGCATGTTTTATAACTAAATCTATGTAGATTTGTTTTTGGTTTGAAACAAAATGTTTTTTTTTTTTCGAGTGTTATTCTCTGCAACAAGTAATGGAAATGGTGGAGACAACTCCGAGGTGGAGGATTTATCAGACATCGATTATCCTGTGGGAGATGCTGAATTCCAACCTCCTCCCACCAGCAGTGAGGAAGACAGTAGTGGGTGTGAAGACCCCGTGTCACAGCCCTGTCAGCCTATCACGGGAAGCAAACGTTTGCGCGAGGAATACGAGGGATATTGGTCAGATCGCGACATTGCTACATTACGCACCCCCAGGCGTCGCTCTCAGACACCGCAGGAAGAGACTGATGTTTCAGGCAATGTCTCTAAAGATACAACACCAGGACCCAGCCTTGAAGAACAGTCCAACAAAGGGCGTGGAATGCGATGGAATGCTTCTTCGCTTACCCCACATCAAGCTCCGTTTGACCACGAGAAGGAAACTGTTCATGACAGAGAAGGCTGGACCCCACTGGACTACATACAACAGTATATTGACAAAGATTTGATCAAAATAATTGCAGATTGCTCAAATGCTACATCACTGTCTAGAAGTGGAAATCCACTCAACACAACAGCTGATGAAATGTTTAATTTTTTTGGTGCCTGTATTTTGATGTATTGTGTACCATATCCTGCAATCAAGCTGTACTGGTCTAAATCCTTGAGATTCCCTGCCATCACTGAAAAGTTCACACGTGACAGATTCTTCCGACTGAGGAGGTCACTCAAAGTGCTCATTAATGAGGATGTTCCAGAAGATCTGAAAGAGTGTGACAAGTTCTGGAAGGTGAGGCCTTTTCTCAACCGCATTCTGAAAGGCTGCAAATCCCAGGCTCAGCCACAGCCATTGATGAACAGATGATTCCATTCACAGGAGCTTGTCCATGTCGACAATATCTGCCGATGAAACCAAACCCAGTTGGCATCAAAAACTTTGGTTGCGCAACATCAGATGCTATAGTACCCGGACTTTGAGATTTATCAAGGTGCAGATGGACTCCGTAAACAAGTTGAAGAACAAGGGAATCTGGGCTTGGGAGGCTTGGTGATCGATCATCTGTCTCAGACTCTGCATCCTAATACAAACGTGTACTGTGATCGATTCTTCGCATTAATCCAGGCAGTGGAACACATGATGAAGACGCAGGTGTATATAACTGATACAGTTATGAGGAATTGATTTGCTGCTGCAGTGCAGAAATTGCCAAGAGACAAGACCATGAAAAAAAAATGGAAGAGGAACCTCAGCACAAGTTACCAATCTGGATGGAAACATTTGTGTCACCAAGTGGTTTGACAATAAACCAGTGTTAATGATGTCTACTATACATGTTCAAGAGCCAGAAGACACGTGCCAGAGATGGGACAAGAAACTGAAATGGTATGTGACCATCTCTCGGCCATGAGTTATCCGTGAATACAACTCCAAGACGGGTGGAGTTGACCTTGTGGATAGAATGATGAGCTACTATCGAATGAGTGTCCGTACAAAATAATGGACACTCCGGATGCTGATGCACTTTACCGATCTGGCTTTAGCCTACAGCGGGCTACTGTACCGCAAAGACCTCACTCTGAATGGCACACCAAAGAAGAACATCATGCAGTTCCTTCAATTTCGCATGGAAGTGGCCATGACCTTCTTGGCTCAGAGAGACAATGACAACTCTGACTTTTCAGAGCAGGAAGATGACACAGAAGTTTCAGTCCAAGGGAAACAGCGTCCAGTGCAGGCAGTGCCCCACATCTCATTCCGCAGGAAGGCTAATGCACATCTGCCAGAAGTGGTACACTCAAAGAACGCATCACGATGCAGAGCAAAAGGATGCGCAGGGAAAACTCGAGTGCAGTGTATTACGTGCAAGGTGTTCCTCTGCTTACAGGCAGATCACAACTGTTACGCTGCCTTTCATACATAGGCATGAACATTTTCCCAAGGGGAAAAAATGTTGGAGCACTTTTGGTGTGCAAGTTTCACGTTTCACGCCATGTTCAGAAATTGAAATGAACAGTTCAACAGTAGCAACGAAAAATATTTTTGAAGGGTTACTTTTTTTATATCTGTCCTCCTGCAACTGTTAGCAGCACTTCATATGACTTGCGTCAAGGGGCACAAGTTTTTGTTTTTGCACTTGGAAAAAATGCTGCTGTGTTCAGGCAACAAATAAAGTTTTGCACATCATTACTCAATTGTGACGTTATTGTGTTAACTGAAATTTAAAACGAATGTCCTCATATGTGGACATAATTTTTCTCAGAAACTACATCATGTAAAAAGATAATTCTTTGTTTTTACACTCATCAGGTCCAAAATTAGCCTAAATATCAAAGAGAAAATAAAAATGCATGCCTTGCAAGAGTTCGGGGTCTTAAGACGGAAGTTCACGACTGTTGGCTTTAGATAAAATGCCAGGGGGCCCAAGTCATTAGGATGGGATGTACAAAGGCCTTTGGGAACACAGTTAAACATTTAAACTCATGACATTACAATGGAGGTTTTGGTCTCATCGGTATCATCGGAGTTTTATGAAGCATCTGTTTGCTGGATGAATGTCAAAGCTGATACATATCCAAGACTTCAGCATTGTTCATTGACATGACAGTGGGATGCACAATCGTTTTTTTAAAGGTTGTCAAACTTGTAAAACAATCTCAGAAAACCCCATGTCTCTCTGATGACTATGGAATATAGACAAATAATTGTGATAATAAGCACAAACTACTGTCCATTATAAATGTAACCCTTTCATGCACCTTGTAACATGATAACAGTAAGCTGTCCACTGTAGTAACCGCTGCCCACGAAAGCGTTAAAAAAAAAACTGCTGGGGAAGAATTGGAAACTTTGACATTGTAAAGTAAACCGAAAACCAATATGATCACAAATGTATAAAATGAGAATTGGAGACAGCAGTGAGGGGCCATTACTCTCCACATTCAGGTTGTCACTTTGATGATGATCACATCTGCTCTGTCAGTCTTAGGTGAGAGCACCCTCCAGACACTGCGTCTTCACTGCCATCATAATGAGCCACACACAGCTCATCATCAAGCATGCTATGTTCACTCATGCTGTTAGCATGCTGTCACCATGAATGTATCAGCCACACGCTGTGATTTGGACAGTACCGATGTTAATCGTGACATGCTAGTTTTGAAGCCAAAGAAAATACATAGATGGGGTAGCTACAGAGAAAATGGCTTGTGTCGTGACTATTTGGGGACCAAAACAAAAATTGTTTTTAAATCCCTCTATGGGTAAAGTACTCATTTTTGCTAGTATATAACAAGAAGTGTACCATTAACTGTATAAATAGGTATGTCACAACAGTAAAGTAAAATTCCACCCGGAAATATTCGTCGAAACGTATTTGTGCTCCAATTCCAGCCAAGAATGGACGGGCCGTACGGGAATCGCCCGAAATTCCCTATGACCACCACGTCGCTGATATGAGACCAAAGGGTTGAGATTTGTTGTGAGATGCTGATGTTAACCCTTTCATACTGTTTGGGACAAATTTCACAGGTGCTGACATTTGGTCAACATTCCATCCACCCATCTATCAATCGTCTTCCAACCTAAAGAGAGTAACGGTCAGTCTGATTTGGAACATTGTTAATGCACTGTCTAGCTGGTGAAAAACTAGATGCTTCGGAGCGAGGACAGTATAAAGGCTGTTTGCTTCATTGTGGGACTTGATTCCTACGCTAGATGGCGGGAGCATAAAAGACTCGCTGGAGTCCGTGCAGGAGATCGGCACATGCAAATTACGTTTATAAGGAACTGCAAGAGGATTTCCACTTGTGGATGATGTTAAATTGGCCATTGCAAAATTGGCACTCAGTGCCCCCCCTCCCCAACACACACACACACACACACACACACACACACACACACACACACACACACACACACATACACACCAGTTGTGCAGCAGTATAGGGTGTTTAGCAAAATATATTACCAATGATAATAATAATAATCATCATGATCATTATTAATTCAATTAATTGCTTTCGACAATAACTCAGAAGGTCATATGCACGCTGATGTCATATTTCTGAATGAAATACAACGACATCCACCACACACATCAGTGGAGCACAGAATCGATTCTGTCAAGTCAAGTCAACTTTATGGTCAAATATGCTCTATGCGCAACATACTGTACAGATTAAATTTATTTCCTCTCATTCTCCCAATCAAAAATCAGTCCTGGTTCACGCTGCATGAATCAAATCCACCAAAATCCCATTACAACCACCTGCGCCACAACTTAGACCTGATATGACCTGATCTAAAGTCTAGTCTACTTCCTGTCATGATAATGTAAGGTGCGCTTTGGGCATGTAACACAAAACAACCTCGGTCCACCTAGTGCGGCATTGTGCAGTCTGCAAAATTCCAGAATATGGTAAACTAGACTTGCCCTGGCATGAAAATGAAGATCCGCCAGCTTTGAGACACGTGCGCCTGTCTACGAAAATAGGGCCCCTTCTCTTTAAGAAGTGTACTGAGAGATATACTGAACCAGTAGAATAAACTGATTCAGCTCTATTACTGCTACGGTCATTGAGGTTGAGAAATATACATTTTTGTTTTGATTATAAATATTAATAGTGAATATATATAAAACATACAATGGCTGATACAGGATGTAGATATGTACGCTCTTACACGTACGCCTGTCTACGAAAATAGGGCCCCTTCTCTTTAAGAAGTGTACTGAGAGATATACTGAACCAATAGAATAAACTGATTCAGCTCTATTACTGCTACGGTCATTGAGGTTGAGAAATATACATTTTTGTTTTGATTATAAATATTAATAGTTAATAACTCCAATAGTTCACAGGGCTGATACAGGATGTAGATATGTACGCTCTTGCTAGACCTCCCTAGGGAAGACTGGTATAAACATTTTAGCTACATTTCCTGCTCATGAACCATAAAGCCCTGGTTTTAGCAGCTCCAAGTAAAACACCACAAGCAGCGTCAGTATGAAGCATGCATACTAATGTCTTACCTGCTTGACATCATATCCCAGAAGAATAAAGTTCAGATCCGGAGAAACTGCAAACTTTGAGGCTTTAAAGGTGGACTTTGAGAAGCACACGACATGAAAGACAAAACAGTTGAATACAAAGGACTTTCACAAATGTTTCAAAAGCCTGTTGACCTCTTTTTTTTTTGTCAAATGCTGCATTAAAACCTTACAAAAGTGGTGTTTTTCAGCAAGAGTTCTGTTTGGTTGCTCTCTGTGTTGATTTTCAGCAAGTCTCCATCCCAGTTGAGAAAGATGACATATTTTTCTAAAACACACAACAACAACAACAACAAGTTTCTGCACTGCTTGTTCTCATGACAACATGAAGGGGTCACGGGTCAGTCACAGGGCTCAAATAGACAAACATGAGTCCCGTTTAGATTCACACTTACCCATAAATGTCTTTCTGGAAAAAAAAATGAAATCATGATCACCAACCTTTACTCACCATATTTAAAGGAGGAGTTTGCAATTTTCATAAAATAATAACAAAATTACTTCTTTTTTTTAAACACCGGTATAATTTATAAGGGTTGCGATTGAATTTGGCAGTAGTAAAATGATCTGTGAAAAAACCCTCCCCGGAGGAAAAACAACCAGTTAGAGACAGAAGGGTTGACCACCTTGCACCAACTTGTTTCCTTACGCTTCTGGGACTTTGCTGAAATTATCACTGAGTAGTCGCCTTTGCTTTACGCAAGAGTTCACAAGAAGGAATCGGACAGATCTTGAGACAAAACAAGGGTGAAAATAGAAGCTGCCTTTTAGAAGTGGAGGACCCACGGGTGAGAAGATTCGCATGATTTCTGCTCAACTGGTAAATTTATCACCTCTTTTCATGTTTCTTTTTATTGACTGTTCATTCAAAAAAAAAATCCATCTTTAACTTGGTAGACAAGAGAGAGAAGATTTTGGTATTATCACAGACACACACAGTTTGACGCAGTTAAAAATGTGTGTTTTGCGCCTTTGTGGGCATGACAACTTGATTCACTGGTTTTCAAAGCTGTCCCAACCACGGTGTGTTCCAACAATGACCAGCTCTGATTTATAGCTAAGCTCAGAAAGCTTAAATGCTAAATTTGGGTATTAAGAGAGAATCCAGCAGCACTTAATTGCCAGCAATTCTGCTGCTGTTTGGAGATGGCTTGGGCAAATCACCAACTACAAGCCCCTAAGTTGTGAATGATCTGAACCTCGCCCAGAGCTTCATCACACACTGCTCTCATTTTGATAACTCATCAACCCTGGAGGACCCTCTGGACGCCCCTGCGCCCCCCAACACCATTGCAACCAACCCCCTCATCCCTTCTTTCTCATAACAACGCCACAGAGACCCTGGGCCAGGCAGTGTATCCCTGTCCACCCAAAGACATTATGCGGCCAAGTTGGCTCCCATCCTGATTGGCATTTTCAACACCTATCTGGAGTGTGCTAGCCTGCTTTGAGTGCTCTACTATTTTCTCTATTTTCTCTGTCTCCAAGAATCCACGTATTACAGGACGTGAATGACGACAGATCTGTGGCGCTGACATCAGAAAGTCATGAAGCCTGGTCCTACCCCACTTCATGTCAATCACTACCCCCCGCCCCGGACCCACTCAGATCCGATTCCGATTCCATCATCAATTCTGTTAAATGATTCAAATCTTTATTGATCTCTTATTGCTTAGTTTTTTTCAGAATATAGACTAAATGTGTACGTTGACATCCACTTTGTATTTCGTCTTAATTGTATTTGTCAATAAGATAAAAAGTAACATGACCTTACAAACCCAACGATATGGTCTGAAAACGTCCACAGGACTCCTTCATTGGGTGCCATGGGGTCTCCAGAATAAAGAAGTCGAATAATGGACAGCGTCTCTCTCTCTCTCTCTCTCTCTCTCTCTCTCTCTCTCTCTCTCTGGACGTATATATGGCGGCTGGATAGCTCAGTTTGGTAAGGCATCGGTTTGACGTACGGGAGACGGTGGTTCGAATCCCGCCTGGGGCAAAAATGACCACATAACACCATCCAGTGTGGGTCCTTGGGCAAGATCCTTCACGCTATGCCTACCTCATACAATGATGAGAGACAATAAAATGAATGACATGCCGGCTCAGACGTCGCCCGGCCAAACAAGGTCTGCGTCAGGTGCTGGGGAACCAGAGCACCTTGATGAAAAATGGGCTACTGGAACAAAGCGGAGATGGGCGAGATGCGATAACATGGCTCTGTTGGAATGCTACTACTCAAGCAACCCTAGTCAGAGGGGTTACATGCAGAGAATGCAGGCTGAATGGTTACTTCGAAATCCACAGTCACGGTTGATCACGAAACAACTAGTAGCTCAGTGTTCCAACATCCACAAACGGCAATTGCTGTCACAACTTGAGATTGACGAGGTACAACGCAGGGTCCACGGTGAAGGGCCCCAGGCTGCCAGATCAGAGGAGGAGGTCATACCAGAGATTGGGAGGCAAGCCCCAATGAATGCAGATGATGAGATTGGGAGGCCAGCCCCAATGAATGAAATGCTGAGCGAG